GGTCAGAATGGCCACCATAAAATCAACAAATAAGTTCTGGTGAGGATGTGGAGAAAAGGGAACCCTAGTGTACTGTTGGTGGGAATGCAGACCGGTGCAGCCACTGTGGAAAAGAGTATGGAATTTCATAAAAAAATCTATAAATGGAGCTGCTTTTTGACCCAGCAATTCCATTGCTGGGATTATACCCTAAGAATCCCAAATCACCAATTCAAAAGAACTTACGCACTCCTGTGTTCATAGTAGTGCTATTTATAAAAGCCAAGTGCTGGAAACAGCCTAAGTGCACATCAGTGAACGAACAGATCAAAAACTGTGGTACATTTACACAATGGAATACTATACAACAGAACAAGGAACTCCTACTTTTTGCATCAGCATGGATGGAACTGGAGAATATTTTGCTAAGTGAAATAAGCCAGGCAGTGAAGGACAAATACCGTATGACCTCACCTATAAGAGGAATCTAATGAATAAAACAAAGTAGAACCAGAGACATGGAAACAAAGAACAGACTGACAGGGACCAGAGGGATGGGAGAGTGAGATAAGGGTGGAAAGAGGAGGAAGTGACTAGTTTCAGAACATGTGTGAATGACCCAAAGACATGAACAGCAAGGTGGGGACTGACTGTGGAGCAGTAGGAGCAACAGGAGGAGAACCAAAGGGGAAAAACTAGGACAACTATAATAGAACAACATTAAATATTTAATAAAAAGAAACTGAAAGTTTAAAAAAACAAGAACAATTTAGCCAGTTTAAAATTCCATGAAAGTAAACATTTCAAAATGCAATCTTTTACTAAATGTTAGGACTTGGGAAGATAATATTATTTTAAAGAATAACAATTTTGTTTTTAAATCACTGGTCTTTAAGTGATGTCTCTCCAACTATTTTCGTTGTCACAAAGCTCTTTCCCTAGTAGATTCTTCAGGGCAGGCTTTTGGGAATAGTATTCCCCAAGTCTTACACATTACTAACAATTGTGTCTTGATTAACAGTTTTGTTGTATATAAAATCTTTATTTCACATTTTCTTTCCTGGTATCTTCACTGTCCAAGTTTAATGATAGCCTAGTTTTCTAGTCATTTCCTCTTTTATCCCTTAGATGTCCAAAACCCTTTAAAAATTTTAAGTCCAATAATTTTACCATAATGAATCTTAATGCTCATTATTCTGGCCTGACATTCTTAGGTACTTGGTATATTTTTTAACATGTACAATAGTTTCAATTTTTTTTAAAGAAATTTACTTTGAATTATACTTTTATGTTTTGTCCTTTGTTTTGGTATTCTTCTTCAGGAATGACTGTTATCCAGATCTTCTCTCCTTTGTACATACTCATTATTTGTCACTTTTTCTCAAATCTTTTTTACCTTTCATTTCTTTCTGATTAAAAACAATTTTTGCCTTTTTTTAAAAGTAATTATTTGTTATTTTGCTTTCTCCTTCTAGTTTAATGTCCATTTCTGAAATAACTAGTTCAGGAATATTTGTAATTCTTTTCCTGAGCTGTAACTTCATTTGAGTTTTACTAAAGCTGATTTATGTTCTTTCATGTCTTGTATAATTTTCTTAATGTCTTTTAGTTTGCTCTGAAATAGTAAGTTACAATAATTGACTTGTCTTGTAGGCACATTTTTCTGGCATGCTTTGTCTTTAGTGATATTATTCCCCCCCCTCCCCAATAACATTCTATGGGATTTGACCTTGACACTTTTCTGTTGCTTGTTTTTATATGAATTTAGTCTTCAACTTTTGAAGACTAAAGAATGAGGTTTGAGTGGTTTTTCTAACTCTAGAGAATGCCCTCTTCTGTTTTTCTTTTTTTTCCTTTTTGGTATAGTGTCCAACAATATGGAAGCCTGCTTTCTGAGACTCCAGGTTCTGTTCCCCTCCACTTTGATTTGGTCCTTCTATTTCCTTCCTCTCTCATGTTCCTACTCTGCTCAATTTTGATTCACTTCTAGAAGCTCCTCCTCAGTGTGGAGTCTTATCCTGGAAGGGAAGGAGCTTTACTGAATCTATTTTGAGAGATCTCACAAGGTAGACTGCTCCAGTCCCTTCTGTTTACCTTAGTGAAGATATACAATAATAACCTACTATGGGAGAGAATGGAACCCTCTCAATTTCAGCTACTATTCTTAAAATATCTACTGCACTTTCCAGTAAACAGGTGTTAGCTATTTCCAGGTTTTCCCTTTCTCAGTGTTGTTAGATGCCAATCCTGTTGCTTGCTTGCTCCTTTCAGCACAATGCTGCTACCACGGCAGGCACGGTTGTTGGTGATTTGTCTCTACAAACTTGCATGTAAAGGTTCATGAAGATATTTGTCATCTAGTTGTGTTATAAATACTGAACATGGGTATTTGCTTTTGCCATCTAGTTGACATTTTAGTGGGAATTTGGAGATTCAACTATGCTTTTAAATCTTCATTCAAGGACACTTTCACTTGGAGAGAGAGAGCGAGAGAAAGGAAGGGAGGGAGGGAGGGGGAGAGAGAGAGAGGGAGAAGGAGAGGGAGAGGGGGAGGGAGGGGGGAGAGAGAGAGAGAGAGAGAGAGAGAGAGAGAGAGAGAGAGAGAGAGAGAGAGAGAGAGAGAGAGAGAGAGAAACATCGATGCGAGAGAAGCACTGATCAGTTGCCTCTGTACGCAACCAGACTGGGGATCTGCATGGGGACCAGGGATCACATGTGCCTGCCACTGGATCAGGATGAACCCACAACCTAGGTATGTGCCCTGATCAGGAATCAAACCCTACACCTTTAGGTTACCTGATGACACTCTAACCACTGAGCCACAATGGCCAGGGCTCAACTATGCCTTCTGACACCACTGCTATCTTCCCTAAGTCCCTAGTATTATTTTTTTCTTTAACATCCATTTTGCTAAAATAATGTAGGGTACAGTTAGATGAAAGAAGATGTAAGCTCTAGTTTAATCTAAAAAAGTGACATTACTTTTATGTTTCTTATTGATTACATAAAAAGGGATAATCAGATTCACTATAGAGGTTTAAGGTGGAACCATATAAAATTGCTCTTTTTATAGTTTAAAATGATTAATTAATGACAATTTTATATGGCTCAATCTAACATGTGAATATTAATCAAATTCTTTCAGATTACTGGATATAGGCAATACAAAAGATCAAGACTAACATTAACATACAACATAGCATAGTTTCATCTTTTCTTCTAATTATAAATTTCTAAAAGCAGTGTCTTTTTTATTTTTTTAAATTTATTTAAAAAAATTTTTTTAAAGGCCTCTTCTTTTAAAGATTTTACTTATTATTTATTTTTTAGAGAGGGAAGGGGAGAGAGAGGGGGAAAGAGAGACAGAGAGAGAGAGACAGGGAGAGGGAGAGAGACAGGGAGAGGGAGAGAGAGAGAAGGAAAGAAACATCAATTTGCGGTTGCTGGGAGCCATGGCCTGCAACCTAGGCATGTGCCCTGACTGGGAATCAAACCTGCGATGCCTGCTTTGCAGCCCGCGCTCAATCCACTGAGCTACGCCAGCCGGGGCAGCAGTGTCTTTTTTTTTTTAAAAAAGATTTCATTTATTTATTTTTAGAGAGAGGATGGGAGAAAGAGAGGAAAAGAAACATCAATGTGTGGTTGGCTCTCTTATGCTCTCTACTGGGCACCTGGCCTGCAACCCAGGGATGTATCCTAGACTGGGAATCAAACTGACCACCCTTTTGTTCAGAGGCTGGTGCTCAATCCACTGAGCCACACCAGCCAGGGCTAAAAGCAGTGTCTTGATTATTTGATGCTCCTCTGGTTTTCTACCTCTCCAACTCTTCATGCAGAGATATAGCTCTGCTCATATTTCTCAGGTGTATGTCCTCATTTTGCTGACTTTTCTATTTAGACTTGGACTCTAGGGAAGCCCTCTGCTTCTGAGGATTTAACTACCATATGCATGTGGATGATACAATAATCTTCTTGCCCATCTCTAACATTTAATTAAATTCTATATGACATTCTCATAAAACAGATACTTTTCTCACTCTGATTGGTCAGAGTAAAATGGTGAGCTACAAAACTCAAATATCCCCAATACTTTTCCTAAACAAGTTTCTTTGGAGGAATCCCTGGCTCTACGCTGTTTTTACCTCAAATTACTTCTAGTCATTGATCTATCTTGTGCTTGTTCTTGCACCTATGTTCATTTTATGAGAGCCATGTACAGTAAACTCTTATATTAATATTGGCCAAGATAAAGGTGTCTTATATTAACATGCAACAACATTCCAAATACATGTAGACATTTAAATTTCTACAGCTGAAGACCAAGTTAAAAACCAGTGAGCCCTGGCCATGTGGCTTAGTAGGAGTGTTATCCCATATACCAAAAGGTTGTGGGTTTGATCCCCAGGTGGATCATGTATGGGAAGCAACGATGGATGTTTCTCACTTTGTCTCCCTTTCTCTCTCTCTCAAAAAATCAGTAAGGCACATCCTCAGGTGAGAAAAGAAACCAGTGGCATTTAAAATATTAATCTTTACAACTGCTACCATAAAGTGCTCAACATCTACTATAATATGAAATAAGAATATCTCTTAATTTTTCCATAATGTATAGCAAAGATATATTGCTTACCTCAAGATGAATGGGAAGAAAGCAACACTGATATCAAAACAAATTTTAAAACCTAAAAATTTATGTATCAATGTTCTATGATAGATCTTTCTACATGGACATTCGGTGACTTTTTGAAAAACAAAAACAAAAAACCAAATACAAACACACACACAAAACCACCAATACAGTAGGTTAAAAATCCCACTGTAAATCTAAAATTCATTTCATTTCAGGGTTCCCCAGAGCATTCTTCAATAAAGTACAGAAATTCTACCAACAAAAGAAATAAAATAACATACTTAAGTAACATATGTGGCTCCATATGTATTTTTATATACAACAGTTACTGATTGTTGCCCCGTAACCACTGTAAATTACTGCAGAAAAATATTCACCACTGGTTTCATACCAACTGTTCTGAAGCCACAAGTTTAAGGAACTTTTTGATGAAGTCAATAAGTCCTTGGATGGTTCGGGTTCGCTCTACAGCCCACTTCTTTGTTTTCATTATAGGGGTGTCTCCTACAGCCTTTAGTAGGATGTCAACTGTAAAAGGAAAAGAAATTGAGAATTGCATTGAAACATCTAAAGTGAAATTAAACTAATCTGCAGTTAAGTTTATATATTGGGTTGGCCAAAAGGTTAGTTTTTTTTTTTCCTGGAATGGCTCTAGTACTGTTAGTTGTCTTTAACTCCATTCAAAACAATTATATTACATTGTGCCCTGGCTGGCAGAGCTCAGTGGATTGAGGGTGGGCTGCAAACCAAAGCATCGCAGGTTCGATTCCCAGTCAGGGCACATTCCTGGGCTGCAGGTCACGGCCCCCAGCAATTGCACATTGATGTTTCTCTTTCCCTCTCCTTCTCCCTCCCTTCGCTCTCTAAAAATAAATAAATAAAATCTTTTTTTTATAAAGCCTGGCAATGAGCTTAAAAAAAAAACAATTTTGTTACATTGTATTGTGACAGCTGTCATAAAAAAACATCAAAACTGGTGAATTTTTGTGCAGTCATTTTATTATTAAAGATGGAAGAAGATAACAGCATTTTTGGTGTATTATGTTTTATTACTTCAAGAAGTGTAAAACAGGGACTTCCAGCCAAGCTGAAGACAAAGGTAGATATACTTTGCCTCCTTGCACAATCAAAAGAAGGACAACAAACTTAAAAACAAAAAAACAACCAGAACTGCCAAAATATCCAACTGTGTAGAAGTATGACAACCAAGGAGTTAAAGAGGAAACATGCATCCAAAATGGTAGGAGGGGTGGAGAGAATGGATGGAGGACCTGGTGGGCAAGGTGGCAGCTAGCGGTCCCACACTTGTGCGGATAAAGAGGAAAGAACACCTGGGGAGTGAGACAGGTGGTGCAACCCAGGGTCCCAGAACAGGAAAATAAAGCATCAAAACCTCTGGCTGTAAAAACCAGTGGGGGTTGAGGTGGCAGGAAAAACTCCCAACCTCACAGGAGAGTCAGTTGGAGGCCTAGGGGAGTCTTAGAATGTACCTAAACCCACTCACTGGGAATCAGCATCAGAAGGGCCCGATTTGACTGTGGGTAGTGGGGGAAATGAATGAAAGCCACCGAGAACCAAGCAAATGGCATTGTTCCCTCTTTGACCCCTCCTCCACAGACAGCACCACAATGATGGGAAGAGGGTTGCCCTGTCTTAGTGAATACTAAGGCTTTGTCTCCTATAATGTAACAAGTGCGCTGAAACAAAGAGATATGGCCCAAATGAAAGAACAGATCAAACTCCAAAAATAGAACTAAGTGATGAAGACATAGCCAACCTATCACATGCAGAGTTCAAAACACTGGTAATCAGGATGCTCACAGAAATGGTTGAATATGGTCACCAAATGGAGGAAAAAGTGAAGGCAATGCAAAGTGAAATAAAGAAACATGTACAAGGAACCAACAGTGAAGGGAAGGAAACTGGGACTCAAATAAATGATCTGCAGCAGAAGGAAAAAAATAAACATTCAACAAGAACAGAATGAAGAAACAGGAATTCAAAAAAATGAGGAGAGGCTTAGGAACCTCTGGGATGACTTTAAATGTTCCAACATCTGAATCATAGGGGTGCCAGAAGGAGAAGAGCAAGAGCAAGACATTGAAAACTTATTTGAAAAAATAATGAAGGAGAACTGCCCCAATCTGGCAAAGGAAATAGACTTCCAGAAAGTCCAGGAAGCTCAGAGAGTCCCAAAGAAGTTGGATCCAAGGAAGCACACACCAACACACATCCTAATTCTATTACCCAAGATTAAAGAGAAGGAGAGAACCTGAAAAGCGGGAAGGGAAAAGGAGACACAGTTACCTACAAAAGATTTCCCAGTAGACTATCAGCTGATTTCTCAAAAGAAACCCTGTAGGCAAGAAGGGGCTGGAAGGAAGTATTCGAAGTCTTAAAGGGCAAGGACTTACATCCAAGATTACTCTATACAGCAAAGCTATCATTTAGAATGAAAGGGCAAATAAAGTGCTTCCCAGATAAGGTTAAGTTAAAGGAGATCATTATCACTGAGCCCTTATTATATGAAATGTTAAAGGGACTTATCTAAGAAAAAGAAGATGACCAAAAATATGAAGAGTAAAATGACAACTCACAACTGAACCTAAAGAAAAAATCAAAAACAAACTAAGCAAACAACTAGAACAGGATCAGAATTACAGAAATGGAGATCACACAGAGGATTATCAGTGGGGAAGGGTGAGAATGGGGAAGAAGGTACAGGTAATAAGAAGCATAAATGGTAGGTACAAAATAGACAGGGGGAAGTTAAGGATAGTATAGAAATGGAGAGCTGAAATGGGACAACTGCAACAGCGGAATCAATAAAATATACTTAGATAATAACACAACCGAATCGCAAAAAAAAATTTGTACTGCTATGGAGAAGGTGCTGTGACTGACTGAACGTGTCAAAAGTGATTTGAGAAGTTTCTTGGTACTACTGATATTTTGGCCAAATGATTCTTTGCCATGAGGCTGTCTCATACACTGCAGGATGTTTAGCAGCACCCCTGGCCTCTACCCACTAGAAGGTAATAGCAGGAGATAGCCAGCATATTCAAAATATCCAAATCAATTAAGTTATTGGTGAAAATGAAAAATGTGTCTTTTATTTTAGGGAAAAACTAAATGGACCTTGTGGCCAACCCAACATTAATGATACTGGAAGTATGTCTAAGATGTACAAGTATTAGGTAAGATTCTCTTTTTGTTGTGTTTTTGTTTTTTCCCCCCCTCGATTCTACAATCCCACAAAGGCCTCCCCATGCAAATAATCTTTAAAGGTCATTTTAACAATTCCAGGAAAAAAATATATAAATGGTTGATAAATATATAAAATATATAGAGTCATGGCCCTTTTCACCTATCAAATTAGTAAAGACTAGAATAATACTGTATGTGACACAACTGTTGGGAACAAAATGGTATACCTTTTCTGGAGAAGAATATGATAATACATTACAGTAGAGATATACGTTGACTCAATACTACTACTAATAATTCTAGGGATCTAGAGTAATAAAATATGAGATGTAAAAAGATTCACTTAGAAGGACTTCACCTTTGTTGAAACATTTATTTTTATGGGCAAAAAAACTGGTAAACCTAAATATCCAACGATATACATATATGTGTGTGTGTATATAGATCTATATATATATATATGGGGGGAGAGAGACACATAGATAAAGATAGATTTTTTTTAGAGGGAGGAGGGAGGGAGGAAGATTGAGAGAGAAACATCGATTTGTTGTTCCACTTATTTACGAATTCATTGGTTGTGCCCTGACAGAGGATTGAACCTGTAACCTTGGTGTATGGGGTAATGCTCGAATCAATTGAGCTACCCAGCCACGGTTTGCCAACAAGGATACTTAGGCAGCATTAGTTAAATAAAGGATACTATAGTCTATGATAGAATTTATATAATTCAGTAAAGAACACACACTCTAAAATCTCTGGGTTCAAAATCCCGGCTCTGCCACTTGCTAGGGATGTAAGCTCTTTAATCTCTCTGTGCCAGAGTTTCTCCACTTGTAAAATTAAGATAATAGCACTATCTCATAAGGCTGCTTTGAGGATTAAGTGAATTAATATACATAAAGTGTTTAGAACAGTATCAGTTCACAACTCATACTTATTGAACCTTAAGATTATAAGGTGCCATTAAAGAACACATATTACAAAAGCATATTTAACACTATGAAGTTATCAAAATGTATTAAATATAAAACAGTACGTATAAAAAACCTCAATTTCATTAAAACCATCACAAACACAAATTCACATAAATGTGGAATATGCACCAAAATGCTACTTTGCCAGTAATGACATTACAGATAATTACTTTGTTTTATTTGTGCTTGTTACAAACACCAAGTTTCCTATAAAAACCTTTTAAATAAAGGAACACAATAATTATTAGAAACAAAATACAATTAGGGGTCAAAAAATTTCAGTTAGAGAAAGTAAAATACAAATTCAAACTATGAATCTGTCTCCTAAACTTATTACACTTTAAAAAAAGGGGAGGGGCTGGTGAACAAATAATACAATATACAGATGAGGTATTACAGAACTGTACACTTGAAACCTATGTAATTAAACAAGGTCACCCCAGTAAATTCAATAAAAAGGAAAAAGTCTATCTACAATCAAAAGCAACACTGAAAGCAAAATAGTGTATTGCTGCCCCCTAAAGTTAATTCTGTTCTACTACATCCCTCTTGTCCCATTCACTGGTATTAAACAATTGGGACCTAAAGATGTCAGAGATAAATACATTCAAGTTTACCCTTATAATGAAGGCACTTCCAGCACAAAATGTACACAGCATTTTTTTCTGCTAAATTTTGTATTCCTTTTCCCACTTAAAAACTCTAGCTTCAGTTATTTAGAAAAGAGGAATAAACTGGAAGATAAATGAAGGAATTTTGAATAACTCACTTGCATACTCCCTCAATCCCCTCAGGCTACCAACAACTCAGTTGCAATTGGGCATTTCAAGAAAGTGAAGCAGAAAATATTATGAATTGTGTTACTGAATGAAAAAAAATGTAAGGGCAAGGAGCTAAAGGAGGACACATTTATTTTAATAACTTTTTTTAAATGCTAAAGGTGATTTGCTTGTAGTTCTCAACTCTAAGCATTGGAATCAACTGGGGTAACAATTTAATTTACAAAAATACAGGTGTCCACATGAATTAAATCAGAATCTTTTTAAAGCAGGGTCTTGGGCATAGGTTCGTTCAAAAGCTCTCCCAGGTGGTCCTAACGTGAAACCAAGACAAAGAACCTCGTTTTGTTTTAATCTTTGTTCTTCCATAGATTAAACCAGATGTGGAGCATATGAATGAATTAGCTAAGCTCATTTCATCAGAAGGCATCCTCAAAAAAGGACACTTTCAGGGAGAAAATTCAATAGCTAGAAACTAAGTTTTACATCAAAGAGGCAAACGCAAAGCTCATAGATGTCAGAAAAAGAGCCAATTTTTAAATGACGGTGTATTCACACACACACAGACACACATATATACACTGCTCAAACCAAAGAAAGCATGCTATATAACCTCAGGCCATATCCCAGTTGCAGGTTATTATTTTTTAACCACTGTTTTACATGACTGTCTTCAGCATCAAGTAGTAAACTTTTGACTAAGATGGTCAGAGATTACAACAAATCCTTTGAAAGTATGTTACTGCTTACAGTAAAACGGAAAAACAGGCAGGGGGACAAAAATCTGTAAAACTCACGGACTTCTTCTGAAGATTGTAGTGGTTATCTATAAAAATATAGAGCTTGTTTCTCTAGTAATGCATCATGTGGAAATGACAGAATAAACTTCCCCCAAATGTAGAGGCACTGTAACTTTAAAGGGGGACAGTGCCGAGAGACAATTATCCTTCATGGCAGAAGAAACTAAAGTCTGAGGAGAGGCCTTGAGATCACTAAACAGAAAACATGCCAATATCTACACTAAGACTCTAGACTGAGAAAACTTGTCTAAGGCCCAGGGTCAACCTCTGAATTACAGGTTTTGATTTGCTGATTTTCTCATAAGCAACTGTACACAGAGCACTCAAGAACAAGTAAATTTAGGAATTTCCGTATTTTACAATGGCAAACTAATTCTTAAGCAATACAAGGTTGATGACAGCTAGTTCAAGCAATGAAATGATTCACAAAGGTTCCAAAAATTTTTGTTTTTAAGGCAATTCCTATGCCATTAATTTTCCCTTAGCATTTCTTCATTCTGGGCAAAATTTCGTTTTTTTTGGTTCAAGAAGTGAATTCACACGCAGTTTGTATTAAAAACTGCAAACTAATTAGTAGGAAGGTGGGGATTCTAATCCACACCTGCCACTCACCATGCCTATCATTTTAAGTCATTATTTTAATAATGAGGTACCGTGTAAAGTACCTGGAGCTACCGAGATCCCACTCAGTTCGACGTCTGGCCAACTGCAAGGAATAGTATGGTGTCGTAAGTACTGTGGCAACCAAGTAAAGTACCGGGCACCACACTGCCAAGGTACGTCCAGTAACGGCTTTCTTAAGAACTCAATTCAACGGTCTTCAAAGCCGAAAAGTACGTTTCCTCTACCCTGACTGGTCAAAAACCACGTCTGGGACGTGCCCTCTAAATTTTGCTTCTTTTATTGGCCGCCATCCCTAGCGTGAAGCCATCTAAACCTTCCGGCTCTGCCCAGAAAAAAACTACTTTCAAAATTACTTTTTTTCTTGGTGTCGCCGGCAGGTTCCTCTGTACCAGGGGAGACTGCAGCGGAAGAAGGGGGCTCCGGAGTGGCTGTTCCTGGGGAGACGTCCGCAGGTCCTTCGCTGTCAGCCGCTCCTGAGGGAGGGAGCTGCAGCACTGCCTCCGACTCCTCAGCCATTTTGTTCAGTGGGAGGCGAGAGCGGAAATGGGGGTTCAGGGTGTGCAGTGGGCGGGCTTTGCGCCGCGGAGAGTCGAACTGTAAGCGCCGAAGTAAGGGGACCCAACCCTAAAACGACAGTTGGAGGAGTCGGCTGGTCGAAGTCGAACCTGTGGCAGATCCCTAATCCTTAATACAATGCCCACTGTTTTCCCACAGCAACGCACCTCGGGAAAGAGACGGTGGCTTGCGTCGCAGCAGACCACTTAGTTCGCAGGTGCCGCTCTGGCAAGTGGGGAGTGGACTGGAGTGTTTCCGCTTCCCTCCACGCCAGCCGCGCTTTGGCCCCGCCCAAGCCCTGCCCCTTCAAGTCCCCGCCCGATGACTCGGGGGCGCGCGCGCGTGCCGGAGGGGGCGGGTGGGGAAGGATCAGCGGCGAGATCCCGAGGCTAGGATCGCGCACCCGCCCCCGCCCTGGCCTCCAGAGCCCACCCGGTCCGCCCGGCTCAGCCATGATTAAGGCGATCCTCATCTTCAACAACCACGGGAAGCCGCGGCTGTCCAAGTTTTACCAGCCTTACGTGAGTATCCCGCCGCCGCCGAAATGGGCAAGCGGGAGTCGTTGGCAGCTGGCAGCGCCCTCAGTGCGACTCCCTTAGGCGCGCCTCGGCCCTTCTCGCGCCCCAGCAGCCTAGCGCAGCGGGGCTGTCAGCCTCCGGGTGGGTGTGAACCAGGTGCCAACCTCCCATTGCGCTCCCAGTCCTCCGACGTGGCTTTGCCTAGGCGGCCTCTCCGCCAGTCGGTTGCCTGGGTGGTTTCCCGGCTGCGCGGTGGAGGCCCTGGAGACTTTCCGGTGCGGGGCCCTCCTGGGTCTGGGAGCCTCAGCCCACCTGCGCTGGCTAGCCTACCAGCGCTCTTGCTTTCCTGACACCAGCGACTTCTTTTAGCTTCTGAGGAAGACAGCGGAGGTAGTCGGTCTCGCAGCCCCACCTTCCTGACTCCCAGCCTTTCTTGGTGGATTTCTTTCTCTTCTCTTATGGACAGATGGGCTACTGTTGTTCACCGTAATCCTTTCATTGAGCAGGAACTTCAGCTTCCTGCCTTTTGATAATTGCACGCTTTGTACAATCTCTTGTATGTTGCGATACAGGATCGACTGCATGGTTTGACTTTCACGTGTCTCCTTATTAAAGAAAAAGATAAGTGGGGAACTAACATTTTTATTGGACTTTTTTCTTAGTGGCTGTAAATTATTTCCTTCTGCAATAACTGGAGACTTTTGTAGTCGATCAGGTATAACTGTGATTCTATACCTTAAAGTTATTATGATTTGGCATTTTTCTACGTAAGGGAATTTGTCCTAACTTATAGTTTCTTCTACCTATGAAGAATAGTAATATTTGTAAAATTATTTTAGAAGTAAATATTGTTTAAAAATGCAGGAGATCTTAAGGTGGTAAAGATAAGTAATTTAGTAATGGTTAATGGAGAATTATGTGCTCATCTGAGGCCAGATTCTCCATTAGGTAAAACACTGAAAGTTGGGCTATCAGTAGAGTTAATTTAGAGATATAACTATTGCATAGTATTTGGGGCATTTGCTTACAGTCATAAATGAACTTTCAATTAAATATTTAAATTGTGCCAAAGCTAACGCTTTTATGCAAATTATTCCCAGAGAGAAATCATTCCTGCCATTAAAAATTAAATGTGAAGATGTCACTTTGCCTAAAATGATAATTCAGTCGGTGAAGGTGTTAGCTGAAGTGAGAAATCTTGAGTTTATTCCTCATTTCCTTAAGTAGTTTAGGTTTTGCTAGTGATAAAGAATATTTTCTACTACTGTTTGGCTTGAGTTTGATGTAATTTAAATGCTGATCCTTTATTTAAGAGTTCTACATTCATTCATTAATCCAGGACAGAATTCTAGTTGATCCTTCTGGATGAAAAAAAAAAATGCCTTTAACTTTACATTGTTACCCATTTACCTAAAATATAGTATTAGCCTTTATTGAAGGAGCTTTCTCTTAACCATTTTGCTTGTGTCCTCCATTTGCAGTACAGAAAAGTATGGTCCAATAATGAAACAATTCAAAAATTTGCTTTTCCATGTCTACACTCAATAATTAGGCAATATTAAAAATAGGTTTCTTGCTTAATGCGTAATATCAGTATAACCATTCCTGTAGTTTAGAATTTAACCATCTACAGAAAAATGAATGCAATCTGGGAATCCAGGAATATTACTCTTGTTTAACAATGGAACAGAATACGTTTTACCTTTACTAGTAGGTAGCAGTGAAGGTTAATGTGGGAAGAGGCAATTCTAGCAGCAGGGGCAGCTCTGGTATCATTTTTGGCCATTGCATACGTGACAATGTTACTGGGGGCAGGGAGCTAAGCGGTGTATAAAGAAGAATCTAGTGGTCACTGGTCATGTAGAAGTAGGGATGCCAGGAAGTAGGGATGTAAACTAATTACATTTATGTAATTTACTACATAAATTACATTTATGTAATTAGTTTTATAAACTGGGTTTTGCCATTTGTATTTTTGTCATTCAGGAATAATGTAAGGTTATTTGCTTCCTTTACTAGACCATAAGCTATTTAGGGCAGAAATCTTTCTCATTCATTTATTTCAGTCAGTTTGTCAACAAATATTTATTTCATGCTTACTAGGTTCAGGCAGTGTTTTAAAATCTGCAGATGAGTCTTGGCTGGTGTGACTCAGGGGATTGGGTATCGGCCTGGGGGTCTGAAAGGTTCACCAGTTCAATTCCTAGTCAGGGCACATGCCTTGGTTTCAGGTCAGGTCTCTGGTTGGGGGCATGTTAGAGGCAACCTATCAGTGTATCACGTATTGATATTTCTCTCCTTCTCTTCCTCCCTCCCTTCCCCTCTCTCTAAAAATAAATAAATAACATCTTTTTTTTTGCATAAACACACTTATTTACTAACCAAAGGGTTGGTCCTAATTAAACTAACACTTGGAAATAGTTGCATGTAAAATGTTTGTGATGAAGATAACAGAACAGTAATGGGGAAACAAGCATGGAAAGATTTGCGTGTTGAACTGAGCTTGTTTATCCTCACAGCTAATTCCTGTCCAGAAGGATGATGGAATTTTCACTCAACTTTTTCATAGATCCAAGTACAGGTAACATAGTTCATGATGCATTCCACCACCATTTTCCCACCTTCCAATTTTCTTGTAATTGTGCTTTCCTTCCCATCCCACTCCTGATGTTGAACCAATGCAACCTCTTCAAAGTTGCAGATGGTCTTGAGTTTTTCTGCCATCACTTGTAGTTTCTTCGAACTTTTCTCCCAGGTTACATGAGAACTGTGTCGTTTTCAATGTACTCTCAGTTTTTACGGTGAGGTTTTCTTATTAAAAGTAATGGTACAGTCTCGTTTGGCCATGGCACCCATTTTCCGCAGAGCCATTCCAACTAGTTCCTTCATGTACTCATCGAAGCCTTTGCTCTCCACTAAGTGCCATCTTCCTACCCATTGCTGAATGCTGGCCATGGTAGGCATGGGAGGTGTGCAGGCAACCAGTAAAGAGAAGAGTCTTGTGTTAGGAGCTTGGCCAAATAAAATCTTTAAATAAATAAAATCTAAAGGTGAACAAACATAACTTCTGTTTTTTTCGGCGGGGAGGGAACACAAAGCTAATAAGTATAATAGAATATATAGTGTGTCAGGTAGTTATAAGTGCTGGGAAAAAAGCAGGGGAGCGTGATGGAGTGTAAGGATGATAATTTAAAATAAGATAGGTAAGTTCTATACTCTGGTTTCTCTTCAGATCGTATAAATCTATCGCCTTTTAAAGTAAGATAGGTAAATTCTCACTGAGAAGGTGACATTTGATCAGAGACTTGCAGGAGGTAGGAAGGCCCACCTAGCAGATATCTGGGGGCAGATCAGTCCAAGCAGAGAGAGCAGGAAATGCAATGCCCCTGAGGTGGCAATGCCTGTTTGAAGAACTTGCCCTAAATGTTAAGGAACACCAAGAAAACTGGCATGGCAAGAGCAGAATATGTAAGGGAAGAGCAGTTGAAAATGGGGTGTGTTTGTACAGGGCACAGGTGGCAAACAAAAGGCCTGCGGGCCGAATCTGGTCCTCTATCTTGTTTTATCCAGCCTGGCACCTTGTTTCTTCTACCTGGTGGCAATGCTGAGCTTTCACTTAACTGTTAAGGAGCAGTTATATTTATACAGTCCTCAAATTATATTTGGCCCTTTGAAGGCAGCCTCGAGGCTGATGTGGCCCTTGAAAATTTCAGCCCTGAGGCTGAAAATGAGTTTGACACCCCTAGTATAGGGCATTTGAGTTTATTTTATTCTCATTGCTTGAAATGTCCTTTCCTTCCATTGCCAAATTTCTAAATTCCACCCCTTGTTCCAGGCCTAACTCAGACATCACTTAATCATTCCCTGGAGCCTTTTATTTTGCTGAAAGACTCCTCTTGGTTCTTAGGAGTTTCATCTATATTAGAATATAATATTCTGTTTCACATCCTATATTATAATTCCTTTGGGGCATTCTATAGATTCCTTGAAGTAACGTATCAGGTTTAAGATTTATTTGTGTCACCACCAGCAATCAATATTGAGTCTTCAATATAGAGAACTCTCAATAAATCTGTGCTGATGTATTTATTGGAGTTTCCTAGTTTGGGATAAAGTTTGGAATAGAAGTGACCTAAATTCCCTTCCAATTCTTAAAATGTAGTCCTTCATTGACAGGAGGTTTTCAGAATCCATGCCTTTAGGATAAATGTAATGATAGAATAGCTATTACTTCAACTGTTTCTATTTTAAATGGAAAGAAATCTCTTAAGAACTATATATTCAATAAGATTGACAGTTTTGAGTTTAATTTATTAAGCAGTATTTAGAGGTATGGTTGGGTTAACTGTTTCATACTGAGGTTTGAGTTCAGTAATAATGGTTTAACACTAAGCAGTTTGAAAAGTGCGTAACCATTTGCCAACCAGCTTCCCCTACTGCATTGGATTTTCATTCATTATTTCAGCGTTACCCTTGACTAGTGCAGATTTCCATTTCTTTTGCTGTAATTAAGTTTTATATTTGATTGTGTCTCCAAGCTGCTATTAATGTGTGAGGCACATGAAATCACCACATATTTGGCTAAACTGAAGTTTTTGGTTCATTCTGCTAGAGTTTGACATTAAGAATTCAAGAGTATACTCAGAATAGATTCTCTTTTGTTTTTGCCTTCTATATCCTTGAACTATGTCTGCATAAGTTCAGATGTTTTTCTTGGTTTGTCTCTTTAAATTAATGCTTGACCACAGTGACTTGGCAGCAGTAAACTTTAG